TTTTTGAAGAGGATATGCAGTATAAATTTTCCCAAATTTCCATCTATTGCAATTATAAAACGGATGACACACAGTCTTGTCTGCATTGCAAACAAAGGTTCAATTTTAAACAGCTTCAAATGTACAAAAAATCCGCTCATTAAAGCAAGATGCCCAAACAACAACCGGTTACCTACATATATCAAACGCTATAAGAGCTCCAAACAGAGCTTGAAAAAGACCGATCAAATTGCGACCTTGGTCAAAATTAAATAACATTTCCACACTTAACTAATGCAATTAATAAAAGTACTTGTAATAAAGAAATACAGGTACCAACAATTACCATGCATACATGCATACAGTGCTTACAGAGTATGTAGTACATATGTATGTATGCACTTACACAATTCCACTGACCTAATGGGCCATTTAAGAGCAAATGTTATGGGTTATTTATTGTTGTTTTTTGCACGATAGTTAGATACATATGTAGTTACGTGACTTTTGATACGGGATGCATTGTGAAGTTGTGCGACATACTACATACATACATATGTTTGTAATTTGGCAAAAATTTTGTTTTTGTAAAATGTGTGCAACTATAAATGGTAATGTAGTATTAGACATTAAGTAGGGAAATGGAATGTGAGAAAATTAGAAATGAAAATAATTTACGTCAATTCATTAAAAAAAACAAATTTTAGCAACACGTGAAGAGACCTTCGAAATGTGAGGTTAATATGTTTATGCAGCAGGAAAAGTAAATAAATGTTATGCAAACAATTTTGTATGAAACAACTAGCCATGAAAAAAAAGCGAGAAATGTTCCTGTGATGCTTAAATCATGAGACATTATTTCTGATATATGAAAGAAGTAAAGAAGTATACTTTATACCCACAAATATAAAATGAGTAGGTACCGCTCAACGACTATCACAAGAAAATTCACGCTTTTTATAAAATATGCGAAATTCAGTTATAGCTGTGAGCAGCTTTTTTTCTCACATTTTGTAACTGACATTTTATTCCTCAGAACCTACAAACAAACGTCTGAAACCCCCAAGCTTTAGTTCTGGCCGCACAAGAAGTTATGCCTTAATAAAAAGTAGATTTTGTGCGAGTTGCACTAGAAGTTTCCTGACTTTCTCGATTTTGCCAAGTAAATTAGTAATTTAAATCGTTAGTTTTGTTATGAATAAATATTTACTAATTTTGCCCTAACAGACGGCCGTATTGCGGATTAACGAGCCGCAAGGTTGTGGGTTCAAGTCTCAAGGCTAGTAGAATTTTCATTTATTTCGTGTCTTCGTTTAGTAATTTTTTATAAGTTATATATTTTTTTAACCTTGCTTTCAGTTAGTTGTTAACTTTTTAATAAAATTAAACTCTAAAAATTTAAATTAACTAATAGCAAAATAGAAAATGTGACATAAAATAAAGCAAATGGAAATAAAATAAAGTAAAATTAAATATATAAATAAAAAAAATACAAATTAGATAAACAATAGAAACAAATTTTTTTTTGGCAATAGCTCCTACTGAGGATCGAACCTTGCAGCTACAGGCTTGTAGCACGCAACTCTCCCCACTCGGCTACCGCGGACGCCAAACTCTCCTCTTTGTTTGCTTACTTCTACAAGAGACAACAGCTGGCCATTTTTACCAGTGTTGTCATCGAAAATCCCTCTGATCCGAGTAAATTCCCAAAAATTTCGCGCATTTTTTTGGCCGGTTATGCGCATTTGAAAGAGGAAAATGGATGAGCTAAAGCAAATAAAGGCTGTTTATGCAAATAAGCGAGACCGTTTGTGAACCGTACAAGACGGAGCCTAAATACGCTTTAAAGGTCCTCGTAGAAATGGTTCTCCAGAAACTGTAAGCACTTTCTTCGTAGTGCGAGAAATTTGCACAAGAGGAGTTTGACGTATTATACCACTTTCTTGTCTTGCAGCTTCTAAAGAAATAGTTATACATACGTGCCTCCGAAATTGACAACTATGTGGGCGATTGGCTAATGTACTGCTGGTATTTTCGTATTTGGCTTCAGGATCCACTCATAGTGCGATGGCGATACTCAGTTTTCTAGACTTGTCAACTCGAGAGAAGGGGACATCCTCTAATCGCACACTCGCCCGCTTCTTCATTCCACGAAAAACCATTATCCCTGAGCCTCAATATATATTGACAATGTTTTATCTAAGAGACTTTCGTTGCCAACCTAAACACCTGATCGCAGTCTGATTGTCCATAATAAGGGCGGTTCATTATGCATGCTGGGGATGTCGAAAAAACATCGATGCATCGAAAATATCGATGTTTTGCTTCGATGCATCTGGGCTTCAATGCATCGATGTTTTCTGTAAATTGACATCTCTAGTACATCGAACCGCCAAATATAGCTTTGTCTTAAATTCAAAGAAAGCAAGATGCGGTTTTATAGCTCATAAAGTTTAAGTATAATAAATTACAAGTTTCAATTGCTTTGATTTTTAATATTTTGCTGACTTGCACTTTGATATACTAAAATTTTATGAGCTGTAAAATCTTGATGAAAATTTGTTGAATTTTTTCAGGATTTTGTATAAAGTTTGAAACATCGTTTTACATGGTTTTGGTTAAAGCATGAAAAGTATTTCATACCAACCTGGCACAGATCTCAGATTGAGAAATGCCCAACGCCCGTTTTGGATCTTTCTGTGAAGGTAGGCGTCTCGTCGGTGGCTGCAAAGTATTTCAAATTTATGTCTATACTTGGAATATCCAGGAATCCTTCTAATGTCGGCTGCTGCATTTAGCGGACTGCCGCCATACATAGATATGTCAACTGCTGACCAACTGTATTTTGAGTATTTGGTTATGAATTTTGAGAAAATTACGAAAAACATTGCAGTAGTTCATTTCAGATTATGTCCTTTAAAAAGTGTAAAAAAATGGCATTGCATTCTGTATTCTACGGGACGGTTCTTTCGGTGCCAGCTCTTAGCCTCGAAAGAGCCACACTTAGTCCGCCAATGTGATGCAGTGATGGAGTCCCTTTATAAGTGAAGTCAATTAGTAGGTGCTGGCTGGACTAATTGCCAGTACAAGATTCCGTTTCATGCCGATTCCTCTGCAATGCAGTAGCCTTATATATCCTTGTGGGCCTGATCGCCAGCTCATTTAGCGAATGATTATCCCCAATTTGAATTTCTTACATTCAGGCGGTTAAATCGCTGATTGCTGTAAGTTTACCGTGAACATTTTGATAAATGATGCCGTCACTCGGCAGTGGAGCTCCAGAACCAGGTTCAACACTAAGTCATCTTCCCATTGGCTTCTCTCGGGAACTATTTCGAATAAATAATTTCCCAGTGAAAAAGACGAGACTGTGTAGCCTGAGCACCTGAATTTTGCAGCAAGGTCTGCCCTTGAAAAAAATTCGTTTGTCCACGTATCTGCGGAACTATTTGCGATGGCAGCAATACTGAATAAGGCTGAATGGTGAAGAGTACAAACTGCCGCATATNTGTAAAATCTTGATGAAAATTTGTTGAATTTTTTCAGGATTTTGTATAAAGTTTGAAACATCGTTTTACATGGTTTTGGTTAAAGCATGAAAAGTATTTCATACCAACCTGGCACAGATCTCAGATTGAGAAATGCCCAACGCCCGTTTTGGATCTTTCTGTGAAGGTAGGCGTCTCGTCGGTGGCTGCAAAGTATTTCAAATTTATGTCTATACTTGGAATATCAAGGAATCCTTCTAATGTCGGCTGCTGCATTTAGCGGACTGCCGCCATACATAGATATGTCAACTGCTGACCAACTGTATTTTGAGTATTTGGTTATGAATTTTGAGAAAATTACGAAAAACATTGCAGTAGTTCATTTCAGATTATGTCCTTTAAAAAGTGTAAAAAAATGGCATTGCATTCTGTATTCTACGGGACGGTTCTTTCGGTGCCAGCTCTTAGCCTCGAAAGAGCCACACTTAGTCCGCCAATGTGATGCAGTGATGGAGTCCCTTTATAAGTGAAGTCAATTAGTAGGTGCTGGCTGGACTCATTGTCAGTACAAGATTCCGTTTCATGCCGATTCCTCTGCAATGCAGTAGCCTTATATATCCTTGTGAGCCTGATCGCCAGCTCATTTAGCGAATGATTATCCCCAATTTGAATTTCTTACATTCAGGCGGTTAAATCGCTGATTGCTGTAAGTTTACCGTGAACATTTTGATAAATGATGCCGTCACTCGGCAGTGGAGCTCCAGAACCAGGTTCAACACTAAGTCATCTTCCCATTGGCTTCTCTCGGGAACTATTTCGAATAAATAATTTCCCAGTGAAAAAGACGAGACTGTGTAGCCTGAGCACCTGAATTTTGCAGCAAGGTCTGCCCTTGAAAAAAATTCGTTTGTCCACGTATCTGCGGAACTATTTGCGATGGCAGCAATACTGAATAAGGCTGAATGGTGAAGAGTACAAACTGCCGCATATATGTACACATGTATGATTAGAATTTGGTATGTTTTGACTCGGCTGCCATAGGTTTGCACAACGAAACCAAGGCACGGACACAATGGAGGAACTCGAGCCAGGAGGACCTGTGTGCAATTCGTATAAATAATTGGCAAAGAAAAATATTCGAATACAAATACAGCAAACTGCAAAACCAAAAAAGGTAAATAAAAATATAAATATACAAACATAGCCTTGAAGATCATCCCTTATCGTCGTAAGAAAAAATTTAACTAAACTGAGTGCCAATCGGTTTGTACCTCATTAACCGTTTCGCTGCAAACCGGCCGTGAGCGGCTTGGAGCAAGAGCCAACAATATACGGCTGTTCGCATGCGCATGCGCGCTTTCGTTGCTTTACTGCAAGCTGGTGCGGTGAGCACCAAAACAAGTTAATAAGCCAGCCGATGTTGACTAATATCTTTTAACTAACATGGCGCCTCTCTCGCTCTGGGCAGTCATGCATGACTGACACTTTTGCTCCAGCCACAAACGATTTACTGGCGCAGAAGTAAAACGGCGGTGTAACACTGCAGACGCGTTTAACGGTAAAACGGTGGCCTTGGTGAAGCTTTCCTATGCGAAGAAAAAGAAAAAGGTGTTGTGAACGTAACTACATGAAAAAGGTGAAGTGGACGGGCAGCAGACGGTTTGTGGTTGTGTGTGATTAGAAAATATATGCAGCAAAATATTTCGATATCTATAAAAACAAAATAACTACTTGGCTGTAGTAGGCGCATGCGCCACCGCAAAAGCCGCTGGTTGGACAGGAGGAGCAATGCCTTAAACGCTAAAAGCGCGTACGTGACAGAAATCATTTCGGTGTGTGTGCTAAAGCTAATTCCAACAATACCCGCTTTACGGCGCATGAACGTAACACCGCGAACAACCGTTCGTGACGTCGACGACGTCAATCGAAATAACAGTTGATCGCGCGGTCGAGTGAAGTGAAAAATACAAATCAAGTGAAATAAAAAGACTTAAGAAAGCGAAAATTATTTTACCCAACCGTGTGTAGTGAAAAGTGTCTGAGGTGCAAGGTGTAACAAAGGAAGGCCAGTATATGCGGCTCATGTGCATTGTAAAAAGCACCACAAGACGAAAGAAAAAGTACATATATGTGCTAAATAAAATAAAAAACAGCAATATTCATTGAAAACTACTTTGCGCTTTGATAATTCAAAATGGTTATTGGTCTTGGCACTGCTGCGGGAGTCATCTTCAAGGCAAGCGCCGGTTCGAAAGCAGCCGTGACAGCTGGTGCCGCAGCGGTTGGCGCCTCCAAGCTGGGCCTTGCCATTGCCGGTGCGATCAAACTAGCCACCACTGTTATTGGCGTGGGAAAATTGGCCATCTTGCCCTTTCTGATAGCCGCCATTGCCTATTATAATTATGATCTCTTCGATCCAGAGAATCGCCCATTCAATGTGCCAGAAGTTTCGATGGCCTACGACTTCATTATTGTGGGTGGCGGTTCTGCGGGTTGCGTATTAGCTTCGCGTTTATCAGAAGTGCCACACTGGCGCATTTTGCTGCTGGAAGCGGGCGGCCAGGAAACGGAGATCTCGGACGTACCTTTGCTGTCATTATATTTGCACAAGAGCAAAATGGATTGGAAATATCGGTAAGTGGTAAGAAACTGGCATCACAGGAATGAGAAGAAAACGAAGGTATGGTCTTTGGCAGCACAGAATAAGTAAAGTATGAGTATGGAGATCTTACCACCGTTTTTCGTTCCATTTTGTTTCGTGGTTACAGAAACCCACCAACTTAGTACTTGCTTGTTTAAGAGATATACTTATATTCCTTGGAATAAGCTTGCAGGCAGCGCGTCGACATGCCTAAACGGAACGTATGTGCCCTCTCTTGCATGATCAGGTGCCCCGGCACCAATACCAAGTGAAGAGTAGATTGCTCAGCCATATCGTTTAGAAATTTGCGGCAGTCCGCTACGGTTTTTTTTAGTTGCATGTGACCGAGTCTAGCATTTCGAATGCCATATGACTTCTCCTGCCACAACATCCCCTTGAAACACGTTGCAGTGGTCGGGTAGGCGAAATAATTTTTCCCGCCCAGCCCACCATATCGCACACTTAATAATATCCAGAATTATTTCAAAATTAAATTTTTGTGCGAAAACGCAATCAAAGTTTGATCAATTCATACAATTGATATACCAAAAGACATATAGAAAGAAACATATCTCAGCCATTTTTGGGAAGTTTAGTTTTCTGTTAGGCTGAACATAATCTCCTTATCAAGCTTATTAATTGTATGATGAAATCTCCAAAAACGTGAATTTTGAGTTACATATAAATTCACATTTCAAACTTTGAACAAAAGTTATAAATATTCTGAAAAGTTTTAACAAAATTTTAAACTTTCGGATCATAATATTTAGGCAAAGTTTTGCTATGCAGTTTTTTAGCCCATTTATTTGTAGTATAATGAAGTGCCTGACTCGATGTTCCACCGCCTGACTATGACGAGGTACGAATAGCAATAACGCGGCTGAAAAACAACAAAGCTGCTGGAGCTGACAGAATGCCAGCTGAGCTATTCAAGTACGGCGGCGAAAAGTTGATAAGGTGCATGCATTAACTTTTGTGCAGAATATGGTCTTTCATGTGACTTTTTAATCTGATGTCGGAGAAGATAATAAGAGCGGCAGAACTGAACCGCTCAGGAACAATTTACGAAGTATCTCCAGTCATCAAGCAAACAGTCAGCAAATTCGCGCCTTGGCATCCACGTCACTGTTGACAGTTATAAGTTCGAGAAAGTAGAGAATTTCGTTTNGGACGTGCTTTGCTGAACTCGGCCGAAATCGCTTAGGCGGTTACAGCGCCAAATAATAAAAAGAAGAAGATTTAAGTTCATAAAAAATCCAGCTGATTTTCGCGAGTTTCTTGGTTGAAGGTGTTTCACATTTTTTTTTTATAAAAATAATGATCGGACAATTTTCTTTTATGTGGAAAACACTGTTAGCAAAAAAAAAAAATACCAAAAATTAACGGGACTTTTTAGCTGCTTGAAACTTGCACTTTATTATACTACAATTTAATAGGCTACAAAATGGTGAAACTTTGAAGAATATTTTTAATTTTAGTACAAAGTTTGAGATGTTGGTTTATTAGTGTTTATTGTATAACCAGCTAGACTTTAAAAAAATAATAAACATTAAATAAACAAAAGAAAAATGGTCAAAACAGCGCACTCCTATTATTTCGTCGACCTATTTATATATATAGTGTGTATGTATGCGCCACTTTTCCTTTTTGAGTGATTTCGACAGTTCTCGCTTTTGGACTACGACGCACGCATAGAATAAAGACTGAATATCTACCTCCATCCAAAAAAAAAAAGTATATAAAAAGGTTTTTTCATAATAGCGATTGCACTTCGGCAGACAATGGCAAACCTCCGAGTGCATTTCTGCCTTGAAAAAGCTTCTCGTAAAATCTATTTGCCGTTCGAAGGCGGCGTAAAGCTGTAGGAGCCTCCATTTGTGTAGCAGCATCAAGACGCACATTCCGAATTGGAGGAGATGCTCGGCCAAACACTTAGCAAAAAGTGTAATTGCCAAAATAGTATTGTTATCATCATACATGCTAATGTTCGTTTTCGCTGTTGATATCCCGTAAATATTTTGCATTAACAGAGGAGAAAATGACGAATCGAAATCGACTTATAACGATAACTTAAATTACAATGGGGTGTTTTTGCAAACGCAGAAAAGGCTCTGCGTAAAATTCCAAATTTCCAGTGATCAATAAAGATTTAATTCATGTGGAGAGTCAGGTGATAGAAAATTTATAGAAGCACAAGTACTTAGGAAACAAAAATAAGTCTATATGCTAAAAAAAATTTGATGGCAAGATTTTCTTGAATTTTCAATGCCAGTCTTTTCAGAAAATTTCATTACATTAAGGGCATATTTTTTATCATTTATCATTGTTATTATTATTTATTAAAGTACATGCACATTTTCGCCAATAGATATTTAAAAACCATCATTAACTGCAAACGTATCGCTGATTTGTGTATTTTCAATTTTCATTTCAACTGACATAATGCCATGTAAATGTCATAAAACGGTTTATGTTTTTATTGATATCCATTCATGAGAATCATAAGCAAAACGCACAGACAACTCCACAGCGCTACAAAGGTGGCAATAAAAGTGGAGATTATAATCATGAAGATATTCGTGATTATAACAAAGGCTGCGTGGAAATTCATTTGAGATTGTATTATAGCCGTGGCGGCCGTTTTACAATACAAACACACAAAACAAGAAAGCGCTGAGTTATAGTCATTTAAAGAGCTGTTTAGATATACATACATGCAAATAATTTTTTTATTATACATACATACGCATTCGATTGACATTTTTAATTTGGCGCTTTACCGCACACTTGTGTGTGTGGTTTTTTATTATTATTATTATTATTATTATTATTAATAAAGGAAAAGAAGAGAAGGTCACTTCTTTACCGGAAAAAGGAGAGCTAGTATGATCACCTTCGGCTAGGTTTTTTTTTTTTTGTTTTTTTCTGTACCAACAAAAAAAGTTGTTTCAAATTTAATAAAAATGTTCAGCCCGTTATTATGCAGCAAATATCATTAAAAAATATCAATCACTTTTTTATTTTAATTTGGCCGTAAATGAGTTAAGCTCTGTAGGTGAGCAATTATTGACTTCTGCTATGCTACTCCTGTATGTATTAAAATAGCGTTGCACTTTTTATTAAAAAAATAATAATAACACTTGCATAACCTCACTATGGACTCTCACTAGCCAGCTTTGATATTTTTTATTCGTATAACAGTGTTAATTTATGAGCAGCATTGGCTCGGTCAGTGCCTATGAGTTATATTTATTTGTGGTATTTTATTTTCAATTTTGATTTAGTTTTTTTTTTTTTTTTTTTAATTATGCATTGCAATTTGATTATTTTTTATTTTATTTATTTCTATCGAAACAGATTGTNGTTTTTTTTTTTAATCATGCATTGCAATTTGATTATTTTTTATTTTATTTATTTCTATCGAAACAGATTGTCTGCGGTTAGTCGTCGTGTTTGTAACTTTTGACCTTTTGAAAGGTGTCAGTCAGAGTTTCTCTTAGACGGCCATTGATCAGCTGCCGTATGTCGGCTGAAATGAAATTTTATTGGCTGTTTTTTTTTTTAAAGGGGGTTTAACATGGCTAATGCAGCATCAAATTTGAAATCGCAGTAGTGGTACTTATGTAGGAAGATGAAAAAAAATCGTCTAACTTCTTCAAGGTCACGTTCCATACTTTTCATTTGAGTATCCATCGATCCGAAGTACCTGCGTCTACGTCCTTTATTTTCACTCGGAGTACATTTTCAGCATAGCTGCTTAATTTACTTGCCAGTTTTCTTGAGGCTACGCAACGAATGCTGCCATCGCGAGCTGCATTTCGGATCCGCTGTTTTGACCAATTTTGGCAAATATATTCTAAATTACCCACGAACGGATAAAAGCTGCCACGTGTAATAGTTATCTTCGAGGAACTTTATGTTGATCCAGCAAACTTGTCTCGCGTTTCTCTATTCTACTGTTGAGTGTGTGAAACTTGATTTCTTCTTCTGTACAACTTAAATACATGCCTTTTCTCACCGTGGGCTAGTAGTTCTTTAAGTGTGGTTTGGAATACGACTAGCAATAATTAGGTACCGTGGTTGCCAGATGAGCTAAACTATTCCGATGTTAAGTCTATTGATTTAGATAAACTCTTCTACATTGTAATAATTAATAAACTTCATAATGTGAAAATTATCGTAGGCATTATCAACATTTTTTGTCTGCCCTGTAATGTAAATTTCAAGTTGCTTACCGCATTGAAACTACCAATATGACAGTCAGCTTTAAGCCTAGTCTATTTCACCTGCAATTGCTTCGACTGTAGGTAGAAGCATAAATAAATTTTAAAATAATACGTAAACTTAATTTTTAAGTCTGCTTAGCTTACAATGAACTTTGCANTTTTATTTTGCATATTCTGAGATCAAAAATTTACCTCTGAAACATGCAGAGCTGGTTTAAAGGACAGTTTAAGAAATAAAAGACAAAACGGCGTCCTTTATTTTGAAAAAAATTATAAAGGACAGGGGGTTAAAATAAAGGACTGTCCTTTAAAATAAAGGACGGATGGTCACCGTACGTATAAATGAAATCGCTTCTCATAAAAACCACTTGCCGTTCGGAGTCGACATAGAACTTTAGGTCCCTTCATTTGCGTGACAAGATCAATACATACATTATGGAAAACATGATACCAAACTCGTTTTATGCATGCATTCAAAAAACTATACCTACATGCATATGTTGAAAGAATATGTAATAGTTTTCACATTAAGCAGCTGTTAGACTATAAAATCCTTACATTTGACGACAAAACTGAGCCTTAGATTGCCTTTACTTACTTACTTGATACTTTTTATTTTTTTTTTACCAATTTACCAAGCTTGAGAAGAAACAAACAGTAACTCCAAGCATTTTTCGTTTTATGAAGACACGTTAAATAAGTTGCTTTGATTTTAACGGGATTTGCTAACTTTTTTGAACGATTTTGGTAAATTATATTTTGCGGGT